GGGCCAGGGGCAGGTAGAGGATGAACGCGAAGACCACGCCGAAATGCATCCCGACTTGGAGCGCCGCCGGTTGCAGGCACATTGAAGGAGAGCCGCCGGGCAGGGAAGCGCTTTCCTCTGAGAGCCCCGCGGCAGCCCGGCCTCAGGCACCCAGGGCTCCGCGCTCGCCCCTACGCCCCTCCGAGTCGGGCGCTCTCCTGCGGGGTTGCCGAGGGCAGAGCTGCTCTTGGGGAAGGGGGTGAGGGGAACAGAAGTAATTCTGGGTGGCTTGTCCGTCTCTCTGCTATCTCATAAGCCGCCGGGAACGCTGGAGTACGGAGGAAGAGAAGAAACGCAGTCCGTCGAAACGCTGCGCATCCAGAGTCCGTTTGCCTCTTGCCGCGACAAGTGTTTTAGTGTTTCCTTTATTAGGCGGTCCGCATGCTATTTTTCCTCTGGATAGTCTTCTTTTCAATGTATATAAAGAAATCTTTTTGCAAACAGGTAGCAGCGACTCAGTGTCCTTAGGGGGGGAAAAATGCACGAAATAATTTAAAAAAATTTTCCAAAGTTTTGTACGAAATCCAAAAATAAACTCTTCTTCCTTGATGTTTCCTTTTTAAAATGCTCCTTTTCTTCCTTACGTCTTTTTGTTTATAGAGAAAAGTTGGTACTGTAAAATTGAGTATCTTCCCCGTACATTAAATTCTGGCTTGGGTGCCTTTTCTTGCAAAACGTTGGCAGTTTGGTTGGATGTGAGGTTTGCTTTGGCTTTGGAGACAGGTGAGAGCAGACGTTTTTCCTCTGGCCTCTGTGTGCGTGTGTGTGTATGTGTGTGTGTGCTGAGTCTTGACAAGTCTCAGAGCTGAGCTGCTGCTGCGGCTGCCTCCCGTGCTCTGTTGCAGCAAGGGGAAAAAAAAAAGGTAGAATTTAATGGGAGGAGAGAGAGCTGATGGGTCTTTATTTTAGTCTGCAAGCTGAAAGAGAGACTAAACTGGCACTTTAGGGCTGTTCCTTTTATAAAGGAGAAGAGATGGGTGGAGCATAACTTGCCATCCTCCTCTTGGCTGGGTATCAAGACGAAAAACCTAACAATTCTTTGCTAAAATAAAAGTGTATTAATTAAAAACGACTAATTAAAAACGACTAATGCTACAATATCCCAGATGAAGTTGCTTTCATGTCACATGAGGAGTGGGGAGAGAAATTCCTTCCTCCTGAGCAAGTGATAAGAGAGGAGTTCCCAGTACAGTAGTTTGTTATTTTTTTGGCCCCGGGTTCTCACTATTGCAGTCTGGAGCCTCTTTTTCTAAGCTCAGCTTGGGTTCTTCCCTGCCCTGCCGCGACGCTTGCTCCGAGGAGAGATATGCCTTTAAAATCTTACATCTCTTTAGGGGGAGGAAAAAAAGACAGAGAAATTCAAACGTTGCTACAAGACAATCCGGTGCTGCTCGTGGCGCTGCGAGGTATTTTGCTGCACAATTATCTCCGTAACGTAATAAACATCTGAAGGGAAATTAAGCAAGCAGTTATTTGCTGGGGGCGGGGGGCTTGAGAGGGAAAGGCTGCTAACAGGTGAGTTCAAGAAAGAGTCACATCCTATTGAAAAAACACGTGTACGCACGCCCTCTCATGTGCACGCGAGTGATGCCTCGGTGCAGAGCTGCACACTTCCACAGCACCTCCGACGGGGTTTCTGCAGCAGCCTGTGCCGTTTGCTGTACACCAGTGCGTTCCTGCACTGTCATGCACTGCAGGCTTTTGCTCCGAGTCCCAACCATCTTCCCTGCTGTCTCTATGCTGCACACACATTTCTCTATTCCAACTGCTTGCATTCACAGCTACGTGCGAACGCTCTCACTCACACGTCCCTGGGTGTCCATGTGTTCTCCTTCCCTCTCCTCCTCTCTCTTCCTTTCTCACATGCACACACCCACCTGCGCACCAGCAGCTTCATCTTGCGGCATCACACACGCTCGCTTAGACTATCTGGGTGCTCCTGAGTCTCATGCATCCAGCCCTCTCTTAAACACACAGTCTAGCACCAGTATTTGCATACGCACCATCCAGAGCGTCCGGGCATGGGGAGGAGCTGCCAGAATGGAGCAGCACGCAGCCCACTAAATGTCTTTTTTGTAGTAGGGATCTAACAGCACTTCCAAGCTTAGCTAGTCGCACCTCCCGGACCTGACTTTGGTCTCACGTATGTGGATGCTGGACACAGGCACAAGCAGAACTGGGGGCCTTCTGTCTCACAACAGCAATGTCTTCTGCTCCTCCCATCGAAGAGATGGGTAACGCAAGCACAAAATGACAAGCCCTACATAAGGGCAAGATGCTTTTGAGTACACGGTATCATCAGCACTTCACCCTGGCCCAGAAGAAGAGAGACACAGATTTCTCCACTGGTGGAGAGTTTGTCAGAGCCACGCCAGCTCCAGAGCCCTGGCCCTCTGAGGTGCACAAGTGGAGTGGAAAGGAATGTCCTGGGATGCCTCAAACCAAGCCTGAAGCGGATCTGTCTCAGTTTTGGAGCTTCAGTGGGAGGAAGAGGTAATGCGATGTGCATCTTTGCTCTCTTTCCCCTGCCCCAAACTACCAGAGACCTTAGCGGGACTTCACCTTAGATGCTCCAGCCGTGCTAGTCCCGTCCCAGCCCAAATACCTCTGGATACTCTTAGAATTCCCCTCATTCTCCATCCTGACCTGCCAGCAGCATATCAGCCATTTCATGTGACCACAGAGCAGGTCTGATCCTTCAGCAGGGTGGAGCTATTATGCTAATGTCTACCTGGGCGCTGAAATTCTTTCTGAAATCCCTAGGAGGCTCTAAAAAAGGATTTAAAAGGGCCGAGGTCCATCTCCCCTTGCTCCATATGGCACCTGCTAAAGGAAAAAGTTGCTCTGGGCTCCTCTGCAGTGAGTGGGAAGAAAGCCGATAATTCAGGATGGCCAAAACAGCTTCTGGAAGTCCTTCCTTCTCTCATTTAAGTTTAGAGGAAGCTGAGGGCAACTAGGTCCCTAATGCACATGACCTGTTAAGCGTTAAAAGTTTAGGAGGGGTAAATGGAAGCTGAGGTGCCCTTCGAGGATCTCTGCCCTAGAATAAATTGGCACAGATCCACTGCCTCCACGCCACCTCGTTCAGGCTGTGGAGGGGGTCCCTCACACGATAGTGGCTGCCTTGCCAGGACAGAACAGCCTGCGTGTGGGAGGGTTGATTAAACTCCTCAGCAGGGAGATTTATCACCATCAGAGAGGAGAAGGACTCAGCATTAAGCTTGCAGGGAGTGCTGCAAATTTGTTGCTTGGTAGTGACAAAAGCTGCTGCAGGGTCTGCTTCTTGGGGGCTATGCATTTTCTTAATATCCGGCTGCATTACATGGGAGCTGGGATAGAAATAGAGTTATTTATTTTCATGTGGATGATGCTGGGCAATTTTTAGAAGCTCAACATCAGAAACAAAAAGCTAATTCCCGTTGAATCTCTAGACGACAAGGAAGAGGATGTTTGGAATTTGACTTATCATCTACCTATGACCCCACTTGGAAAGAGAGCAAAATAATATTTAAGCCACTCAGGCTTCAGTGGCTTTTCCTTATTCTTTCTGTTTTTAAGACGGGGACAGATTTTTCTCTAGTGAGGTATTTCAATCCAGGCTGTGCCAGTCTCACTCCACTGAGTTCACTGGCATTGAGTTCAATAGAATTGCACTCACTTAAAATTACTGAGCCCTGAGCCAGTCGGGAGCTCCTTTTATTCTCTTGCTTTTGTGAAATTAGCTTGTTATTTATCCCATGAATTCCCAGCTTTAATGGGGACAACTCTATCTTCCCTTCACATGCCCCGTGGGGTGGGTGCGGAGCCCCCCTTCTGAAAGCTGCTGTGGTATCAGTGCCATAGATGTCACAGGACAAGAGTTGGAGATATGTGCTGCCGTTGCATTATGCTGGGGGAGATATTTCAAGGCTATGTGAGGTGGCTTGATCATAAAAATGGTCTGCTAGAGCATCACAACTTGACAAGGTCTGGTGGCAACTGTGTGACAGCTGACAATAGCCCCTCAGGCAAACTGCGGCAAAACCCAGCAATTTCATAAGAGCCTGTAGCAGCATTTCTTATTAAAACACTTTCACCATCACCATAGCTTTCTAACCTGTGAACAGCTGAACTCATCTCCTCAGTTATGTCCTTATTACTAGAGAGCGGGCAACACGTGTCCCAGCACAATACACAATTCCTTGCTGCGAGACCTCTCCCCTCATCTTAAATGCTGGTGGAGAAAATGGTCTACTAGCAACCATCCACAGAGGCACAATGTCAGGGGTGATACCTTTTCCTTTCTTTTTTATTTTTTGGAGAACTGTGAAACAGCAGGACTTAAAACAGGGCTTACAATGGAAAGCAAGACTCGGTCTGAACAGCAGAGATGTCTCAGCCTCTCCATGATGAATCCTCGTTTGAAAAACAATCAATGGAAAGAAATTAGGAGGTGTTGAAAGCCAAGTTGCAGTCAGCCCACCCACTCAAGGTATCTAACTTAGGTGGTGCGACTACTCTGGTGCCTAAGTTCAGGAGAACGATGAGCAATCCCTACGCCCACTCTGTGGGGCTGCCACAACTGTCAATGGAGGGGAGCAGTCGTCATGCTGACGTTAAGCACCCGGAGTAAGTTTGATGCTTAGTCTACACCAGGAGGCCCTTTCTGCGAGTGTATCTGTTTTACACCACGGGGGCCTGTTTACGTCAGGTTTATCCCAACCAAAGCGATCAGAACTGAGTAAACGTACGTAGCTTATGCCCACATTTGCACCATATGGCCCAATGACTTCCACGGGAGTCGCACCGACTTCCTGACAACTCAGTTTAGTCTAAAGGAGAAAGAAAGGAGGAACAGGGAAGAGAACGAAGGAAGGAGACAGACAGGCAGGGAGCATTGGGTTTACATGTGGTGCTGGAGAAAGGCAGAGTTTCAGGCATCCAGGGCGTGCAAAATTCACTGTCTTGCCCCTGGAGCTGCCAGGGTAAATGGTTTCTAGAGATGAGTAAATCATCACGGAGGAATTGACTCCAGAGGGGGGAAAAGGGGAAGGTGTCACCTGGCAAGCAGGTACTGGATGTGACCTGCCAGGCCACCCCTGGGAGTTTTCCCACCACCTGTCTCTCCCCGGTGGAGGGATACTCCCTGCCCTTCACCACGTCTTTCATTTCATCCATGCCTGGCAGAAATTTGGCAAAGATGAGAGGGTGAGGAAGACACACAGACACATCCAAAGGGCAGAGCAGGGACCTCAGTGACAGGAGAGAGGGAAAGGGCTTGTGCAGGGCATGGCTGTTGCCCCACGCTTTGGGAGGAAGGAGAAGGCAAAGTCACTTTGCATCTCCGTGGATGTGCGAATTGTGCAGAATTCAAAGAGCGAAGGCAAAGCTGGGGGGACTGATATATCAGGGCTTTCCTGTACGCATGCACGTTCCTGTGCCGGGGAGGGGAGGTGGCAATGCAGCCTTCCCTGCTCACGCTACCGTATATTCTCCCCCCCCTCCCTCCCCCCAGTTTAGAGTAGAAGGGAACAATTTCCGTATTCTGGCAACCACCCATTATATCTATGGATCTGCTCCCCACTCCATTCCCCCGTCTTTCCTGTTTTGATGAAAGGAAAAAATGTTCTGCTTTCCTTCTTTATTTTTCCAGACTGGTGAATAGCACTGGAAAGGAATTTGTCTCCCTCCCCCCTTCCCCTCTCCCGGTATAATAAATATATATGTATGTGTGTGCGGGTGAATACACCACACGTCAGAGGTCATCTATTGTTTTTGAATAGGGCTATACTATTTTTGTTTCCAAATTGAGTGGGTGGGGAGCATTCCCCCTCTCAAGCAACACCACGCCAAACACCGCTTCCCGCGCCCTCAGCCCCTGCCACTCACCGTATCCCCATCCTTCGCCCCGGGTCTGCAGCAAGCGGTGG